ATTGGAACAGAAGAGAGAATCCAGAAATAAATCCACACATTCACAACCAAATTATTTGACAGTCACCAAAAAACATAGAAGAAAGGGTAATTTCTGTAATAAATGATGATGAGAAAAGTAGATACCTATATACAGAAGAATGGAACTATATCCCTGTTTCTCGCCATGTAAAAAGAAAAAAAGCCAACTCAATATGAATCAAAGACCAAGTGTAAGACATGGAACTACTAGTAGAAAACATAAGAAACATAACTTCAAGACATCCATATAGGAAACGATTTGGGGGAGTATATCCCCATAAGTTCAGGCAACAGAAGCAAAAACAGTCTTTATCAAACTAAGAAGCTTCTGCACAGCAAACAATGGAATGAAGACAGATTGCAGAATGGGAGAGAATATTTGCAGATTGTTTATCAAACAAGATATTAATATCCAGAATACATAGGAAACAAAAAACAGCAAAAAAAATCTGATTTTTAAAAAATTCAATGAGCTGAATATACAGTTTTCAAAAGAGGATATGCAAATCGCCAGCATTTTTATGAGCCTATGATCAACATCACTAATCATCAGGGAAATGATGATCAAAACCAAAATGAGATACCATATTACCCCAGTTAGAATGGCTATATTTAAAAAGACAAAAGAAAAAAAGAACCTGCTGGCAAAGGATGCAAAGAAAGAACAACACATTGTTAGTGAGAATGTAAATTAGTATGTCTGTTATGGGAAAACAGTATGATTTCTCAAAAAACTAAAAATAGAACTGCCATATGATCCAGTTATTCCACTGTTGTCCATTTCCCAAAGGAAATGGAATAGTATATCAAAGAGATAACTGGGCTCTCATCTCATGTTTATTGCAGCCCTACTGATAATAGCCAAGATACAGAGTCAGCTGAGTTATCCATGAGCAAGTGAATGTACAAATTAAATATGAAATATGTACACAATGGGATACTCCCTGGCCATTAAGAGAGAGAGAGAGAAAAGAAGAAGGAGGAGGAGGAGGGGGGGAGGGGGAGGAGGAGGAGGGGAAAAGAAAGAAAAGAAAAGAAGAAAGAATCCTGTTATTGCAGCAACATAGGCAGAGGAGGACATTGTGTTAAGTAAAATAAGCCAGGCACGGAAAGTGAAATTCCATGTGTTCTTACTTAAAAATATAAAACCTACACTCAGCTGGTTTTGAACTTTAATAAAGGCAGTCATACTATAGGTATTCATTGTTGAGTAAAAATTCATCCCTGTGTTCATGAGATCATCCATAAGATGGATAGCTCCAGTTTATTTATTTACATTGCTAGTTTATATGCCATTGGCTATACAACAACTTACATTAATTCTGTTGATGGATTTTTTGCTTTTTGTCATCAATGTTTATTACTTTGAACAATGTGGTTTTAAATGTATAAGAATTTCTCTTGGTTAGGGTATATAACTTAAAATGAACAGATTATAGGGTCAATGAATCTATGCATTTATAAATACTCATTTGTTCATTTCATTCCTGTTGTTTTTTCAACTGGAGTTGCATGTGGAGGAACAAAATTACTGATAGGCTCACTAGTACTCCCTCATTCTTCTTTACTCTTTTCCCTGTCTCCCAGTACTTGTACACAGACACACCCTCCCCTTCATCTGAAGTATAGTATAATATAATATATAAGTGCTTGCTTGTATTTGAAAATAAAAACAAATGCTTTTTAGCCTTCTTTTATGCATGAACAATGCCTGGCTTATAAGTGTCTATTATCTATAGCTACTGAAACCAGAGATTTACTTTCCCGATACAGATAGCATGTTCCTTTCTGTTAAACGAAAAATGTACTCCAAGAGGGATGAGAGGAGGGTATATAGTTGGAGATGTATTACTAGTACCCCCCAAGACAGTACTCTCCCCCAGAGTAGTGTTAGAAATAGGATTTAGAAGATGTGTTGTAATGTAGATTATTTTTACATTTTTAAATTTTCTTTCCAAGAATATCAAAAGATTACTCAGAAATTTTAAATGGTTAAAGGTCAGTTTATAGTTAACTAGATTACTGTTTTATACCAGTGAATAGTACAGATCAGAATATCCCATCCATCTATTTTAACCCAAACTTTATGTATTCTAATATAATTTCTGAAAGTTCTCATTGCAGGTATAATTGGCATGTAGTAAACTGCACGTATTTAAAGTATACAATTTGATAACTTTCGACATCTGGATATATTTATAAAGTCAAGATAATGAACATAAGCATATACCTTCAGTAGTTTCCGTATCTGTTTGTAATTCTTTTTTTCAGCCACTTGTAGACAGAATGAATCTTATTTCTGTCACTATACCTAAAAATATTTCTAGAATTCCATATGTATGGGTTTATAAATTAGGTATACTTTTTGGTCTAGCTTCTTTCACTCAGCATATATTTTTTTAATTTATTCATGTTTTTTAGTTTTTTGTTTGTTTTTATCACCAAGTAGTATTTCTTCATATGATTATCCACCATTTGTTCATTTACCTGTTGATAGATGTTTGGGTTGTTTCCACTTTTTAGCAGTTACATAAAAGGTGCTGTGTACATTTGTGTACAAGTTTTGTATAAATATTTGCTTTCATTTGTCTTCGGTAATACCTAGGAGTGGGAATGATGAATCTTATGAAATGTATATATTTTAACTTTTTAAGAAACTTTTTCAAAGGTACTACACCATTGTACACTTTCATCAGCAGTTCTAAAAGCTTTAGTTGTTCTGCATCCTTGCCAAGACATGATATGTACAGTCAAACTTTAGCCTTTTTGTCAGGTACATACTGGTATATTGTGATTTTAATTAGTATTTTCCTAACAATTAATGATGGTGAACATTTTTTCATGTGCCTATTTGCTCTCTGTTGTCTTTGATGAGATGTATTTTGACTGTTTTTATTGAGTTGTCTTCTTAGTGCTTTTCATTTATTTCTTACTCATTTTATTCCAAGTTATTTTGTCTGCTGTCTTAAAGGTCTTTTTAAAAATGTTTTTTCTTATGGTTGGGGTTGTGGCTAAGTGGTAGAGCACTTGCCTAGCATGTGTGAGGCACTGGGTTTGATCCTCAACACCACATATAAATAAATAAATAATAAAGATACATTAACAACTAAAAAATATTTTTTAAGAAATGTTTTTTCTTCACTTTTGGTTCACACATATTAATTATACATATTTATGGGGTACAGTGTTGCATTTTCAACACATGTATATACAATGTGTAATCATCTTATTAGGGTAATTGGCATATCTATCACTTCAGGTATGTATGACTTCTTTGTATTGGGAATATCCATACTCTTCTCTACGAGCTGTTTTGAAATATTTAATTGTTGTTAGCCATATTTAATCCTATTGTGCTATAGAACATTAGAAGTTACTCCATCTAACCAACTGCACCCTTATACCCACTAACCATCCTCCCATTTCTCCTTCTCCCATACCCTTCCCAAGTTCTGGTAATCAGTGTCTTATTTCTACTTCTTTGATATCAACTTTTTTTTGCTTCCACATGTGAGAACATGCAATATTTGTCTTTATATGCCTGAATATTTTACTGTCCTTCAGTTCCATCCACATTGCTATAAATGGCAAAATTCATTTTTATAACTGAATAATATTCCATCATGTACATATACCAAAATCTAGGTTGATTCCATATCTTGACAATCAATGCCTTAATAAAACTTGTTTTATTATACAGATGTGTCTTCAGTATTTTCTAAACTATAAGAATTCTTTATGTATTTCAAACACTTTGCAGAATATGTGTTGCAAATGTTTTCTCCCAATCCATGATGAACTGTTTTTAAATTTTTAATGAAGTTCTGAAAGTTTTAATGGAGTCTAAAAAATATGAAAATTTTTGCTTTATCTTGGATGATTATAGAACTATCCCTGATTATTCTCTGGTTGCTACCACACACTACTTATCATTGCATTATTCTCCTTCTATGTAATTGTCCTTGAATTGTAAATGATAAAATATTTTATTTCAACAAACTTTGGTTTTTTTCTGCATTCTGGGATTATAAAGATGAATAATATGTGGTATCTCTCTTCAGAGTACCCATTTTTAGCATTTAATATTTTCTTCTGATACCTTTCTTCTGAGGTCCCTGTACTTTGTTTAGTGCCTAGTATAGCTCTAATTACTTAATATATTTTTGCCTTATTCCTTATTCCTTTTTGAAAATTTACAAATAGGCGAGTTTATTGTAGGAAATCTCTTGTTCTTTGTGTCCTCCACAGATCATACTATAGTTCCTTATACTCAGGGGACACTCATAAATATTCAGTGATGGAATGAAATTAATGATGACTAATATATTAGTAATATGATCTTTGGCTATACCTTACAAAGTGAGTAAAAGATACTTTCATTCCAGATGCGATAATTGCAGACAGATTATTTTAAAAAATAGAACAAAGATGGTGATGCCTGATTCTTACTTGATTTTTAAAATTTTTGTCTAATTTATTTATTGTTTTGTTGTTGTTTTTTGTTTTTTTGTTTTGTTTTGTTTTTGCAGTGCTAAGGATAAAACCCAGGATCTGCTGCATTTTTTTTTTAAACCTGTTTGAAACTATCCCGTATACTATATGCCAAACTACACTCTAAGACCAGCTTGAATTTAGGTTTTCTCCTTTCACAGATGCTAAGACCAGTGATCAGATCTGACAGGAAAGGAAACCAGAGGGTTACTTGATTATTTTTTAGTAATTTTTTTTAATGAGCCAGGTTTACATTTTTATTATCCTCAGAAATCTGTGTCTAAGATAGTATAAATTTGATAGTAATTTAGAGCTGTTCAATTACTAATTCAATTACTAATTGAAATGTTTTCCCAAAAGTCTGCTCCATTCTCTTAGTTACTTTTTAAATTTAACTTTGAAATTCTTTTGTCATGAAACCAATGCATTAAAACACAATGACTATAAGTATGTGGGGAAAGATGGCAATAATTTTCTTCGTTTATCTAGGTCCTGGGAACACCAACAAGGGAGCAAATTAGAGAAATGAACCCAAATTATACAGAATTCAAATTCCCTCAAATTAAGGCACATCCATGGACAAAGGTGAGTCAAAATTAGTTTTTAAAGAAACCACATCAATCAATAGTTGATTTGGATTTCTTGTTGTTTATAAACTGAATTATTTTGAGACTAGATAGCTGCCTGAATACAAGCACATAGCAGTTCTGCATGTAAAGATAGTTGAGTAATTGTTCTTCAGTGTTTCATTGACTGTGTACAGTTTTGTTCCCATTGATTTCCTGTAGACAATTTCCAGCCTGGGCTTTCATTTGCAAGGTAAGGATTATGTATCTATATCATTAAAATATTGGAGTAGGATATTACATATAAAATTTGACAACCTGAAATTCAGAAGTTAATCTCTTCATTTACATAGAGTGCATACTTCAATATTATATAACAAATAATAACATACATTTCATATATTTTCTATATTCTTTGTTTAAATTATTAAAACATAGACCTAATTATAGATGTTGTTGTGTGATTTTTCTTTCCTTGTTTACTTTTCTATTGGTATTTTGGGAGCAAGATTAAAAAGCAGACATAATCTTGCTGTGAGTATACATTACAAGCAATTGCTGTATTTACAGGATGTCAAAAGCCATTGGAAAAACCTAATCTTAACATTAAATGGAACCAGTTCTAAAAGCACAATTATTAATTTACTAGAAAACTTTGATACTTAAATGATTTTAAGAAAGATTTTATTACAATCATCTCAATTTGATTTGTGAGATTGTGTACAAACAAAACAATAGAAACAGAGTGAACTCTAGCTTCTTTATTTTACAGATTCAGAAACTGACCAAAGATAACCAAGCAAGTTATCCAAAGTTACATAGGTGTTACATCCTGTAACACATTCAGGATTAAACTCTGTGTGTGTGTGTGTGTGTGTGGTGTGTGTGTGTGTGTGTTTAATGCTAGGTCTTTAAACTTATAGTAATGTGCCAAGTACCATTATATGTCACTGTATGGTTTTTTTGTGAATTAGATACAGTGTACTCTCTATTATGTATTTCAAGCAGACACTTTCTATATTTAAAAATATCCACAGAGCTATTTGTTTTGTACATTGAAAGTTCATTTAGTTGGTAATAGATCTTTTACAAACAAGAATTGAAGTAATCTAGAGCTGTTGATTAAATAATTTACACTACCTAGAGTCAAAGCATGTCTGCCCCTCTCTTCCTGTTCTTCTCAATGGTATTGTAATTCTATTTACTTTTCTTAAAGTTCTCACAATCTCATTACCTCTCTTTACTAATTATTTCCTATTTAAGTCCAAGACCTCAGTAATATTTTAGTGCCAGAGATTTATTGGTTATAGCTTTCGTTGGCCAACAGACCAAGGTGTATACTCCCTTCCTTTAAAAAAAAATTCATGATGTGCACCAAATAATCTTTGATAAGGTTTCTTTTGATCTTTGACTTAAGGTTTAATTGAGATCTGAGTCACAAGGTATCTGGAGTTTCTCACCTGGCTCTAAACCCAGAGATTGCCAGGGAGCCTATTTGGATTTAGGTGCTAAATTGCAGTTTGGATCCATTAGCTTATTACAAGTTAAAGTGTTTATAATAAGTGGTCTGTAGTATACTGTGATTTCAGCCAGTTTAAAGGAAAAACAACACAGGGAATTCTGTATATTGAATGAACACAGGAAAATCTTCCAAAAGGCTAACAGATTTGGGTTAGAAAAATATTAGTGATTTTACCTTCTTTGTTCTACCAATCCATATTTCTGTTTTCTGTAATAATCATTATTTTTATGAAGAAGAAAGAGAGAAAGTTTTTTTTTTTTTCAGTGTAATCTAAGTATTTATCACATGTTATCCTCAGTGTATAACCAACAGATGTAGTGCTGAAATTGAGGTCATAGAATCTTACTTCACAGTCCCTGTCCTTATTTATTTATTTTTTAATTAACACTGCCACCAACATTAGTGTGTGTCATTTTCTACATTTTTACCCTCGATTATTTCTCTCCAGTAGAACAATTAGCCAGAGTGGTACAAAAGCATTGATTTATTATAATTAAAATATAGCCAACAGAAGAGCTGTGGTAAATTTTTATGGTTTTAACTTTCCTCTGCTTTCCCAGATTCCTGGATATTTCTATAACATCCCTAATGTTTCTCAACCTTGAATTATAAAGTCCTTTTACTTAGATTTCCATTCCTGTTCAATGTGTAGAATAATAACTTAATTCTCCTCTCTTTTCCGTCTGTTAAAATTATTGTGAACCCTTCATTCACGTAGTATTCTTTGACATAATTTTGTTTTCACTTTATATAAATGCATTGTATAATAAGCAGATTGGTGTTAATTTCTCATTGGTACACACAAACTTGGGTGGTTCGAGAAACTCCATGGTTCTACTGTCAGCTAGATGATCAGAAGATGTGATTAAAAAAAAAAAAGATTATGATTAAAATGAAAACACAAAACTTAAGACACCAAGGGAAAACTTAGCCCCTCTCTCTTTATTTCCCCCAATTATAATACTGAACAGCAATTTAAGAAATGCTGTGTTATGCTAGGCAGCCAGTGGTATCATTTTAAAAGCATGCATAATGTTGTTTAAAGAAGAGAGTCTACCCTTGGAGTCTGGAAACAAGAATTGCCTTTTCTTTATTGCTGTCTTCTGTTAGAATCCACTTCAATCCCATTTCCTGAAGCTTTGGGCATGGGAACCCTGGTTTCCTGGGCTGCATTGTATTATAGCTAAATCACTAGGACTGGTAGCTGGTATTCTCAAAAACATGGGCAAAAATAAAATTAATGGTAAAACTGTGTTCCATGGAAAAAGTTAGATAAGGGAATACAGGTATATAGGAAAGTTATAGAGGAAAAACAAAAACACTGAGATAATCCGAGCATGTTGTGTGGCAGGTATCTTGAGGATTTAAAAAGCCATTAAGTTGCCCTTGACTATTACATAATAGCAAGTGCAACCTAATTCATTAAAGTACTTGTGGATTAAGTAGGAAAGGAAATACGTGCTATGTTTTAAATAGGAACCATTACTGGAAGGTGGGAAAATAAAGTCCTCTGCATTGGTATATATTGTACTTCAAAAAAGAAAAATGAGATTAAAAGCAAAAATAAGTGCTACAAAAGTAGGTTGAGATTGGTTGGAGAAAGAGAAGAAGCTTAATTTCTGCATTTAGTACAGGGAGGAATGGATAGATGACAGGCTATTAGGAACTAAGGATCTAGTTGAAAGACTGCTGCTTCTATGTTTCTGTCTACTTTTTTTTTTTTTTTTGTAAGACAGTGATTATCTGCCATGTCTTGTGATTCTTTTGAAAATAAAACTATAATATGCTTATAAGGGTTATTTTAATTATGAATAAATGTGAACATTCTACCTCCATTATAGTTCTCTTATTTGTCCTCTTATTCTGTTTCCACTGGCCTGACTTTAGTTTATACCATTGCCATATCATAGAATTATAAAACAACCTATTACTTCCTGATTGCCTTCCTTCAGTTTTACATCATTTTAATCCATTCTCCTTGTTGCTGTCAGTGTTAGCTTTCCTAATAGTATATGTTAGACTCATAGTCCTTCCTATTTTAAATTCTTTCTGATTTCTCAAAGCCTTTAAGGACATTTTGGCATATAATACATAAAATGACAATTGGTGATCTGTGTCCTGATTTTTGCCTATCCAATGTAGTTATTAATTGATACCCCTTTATTCTCAAAAGTAACCCAGTTTGGATAACAGATTACTCTGTAACAGTTCTTGATCTTTTCTACTTTTTCTTTCCAGAAAAATAGGAGACTGTTCTTGTCCTGCTCCTAGCCTTTCCTGAATTATCTAGTTGCTCGAACCTAGCCTCCCAGATTCTCCAACTTCTTCTATCTGTAAATGCATGTTATAAGACAATGAATTTAAAGTGGTGGAATGAATCTGATCAGACTTTCCTATGGACATATATGAATAAATATAACACAGTTAATTTTACCTTTATATATATTCACAATGCACTAATTTTTAAAAAACTTTAAAATTTAGTGTCTAGTTATAGCAGATAGGGATTTCTAAAAAGATTATATATATATCTACTATCATGTAGATATGTATCAACTATTACCCCCCTCCCCCTTTTGAGTACTTGATTCTGCTGCCTTTTTGTTTAAATTCTGGAGACAAAAAATTTCATTTTGTTCTGGTAGTAAATAATTTTATGAGGTCAGTAAAGTGACAGATAAATGAATATTCTTTCAGAATAATAGAAGTCATAAATGACATAACTGGTTTGTAGAGGAAGTAGATTAGAATCCCAAGGGCTCTGATCTCTTTAACAGTTATATTTAGTGCTACTTAATATGTTACGTACATATGGGAGTCTTGTTCATCCGGTAGCCTACTTTGAAGGGGCCATGCAGTCATGCTGAATTTTCCAGTCTAACCAAAATCCTAATTGTTCCCTAGAGAAACCACATTCATTTCTACCTCTTGTTGGTACCACCCCCACCCAACATCACCTTTTAGAATGTTCTTTTTTTTCCCCTCTGCTTACGAAGTCTTAACCTTCTTCAAGATCTCAAGTCTCACTTCTCCCATGAAATATTTGCTTGTCTAAGTTCTCCATGATTATTCCTACCATGTAACTCCTGAGGCAACTTACCAAGTCATACCACATGTGTATTACAGCAGTTGCTAATTTGTTTTATAATGATAATACGGAAGTGAATTACTTTAAAATGTTTGTTGCCAAATGTGGGGCATATATGATAGCTTAATACTCAGTGGTTAAGTGTCAAACCTGCCATAGGTTTTATGGACAATATAAGTCATTGGGTAAGTATCCCCAAAAGCGTTATCCCCATAAACAATCCTTGCATACTTGATTTCTTAGAACACTGTTGACAGTGTGGATGCTAGTATTTCCAACAAAGTAAGCAGGTAATTGAGTTCTGAGGTCTTCAGCTATCAAAAGAATCATTTGATCATTTTAGACTAGACAAGTTATTGGTTATCTATGCTTAGAGCTAAACAAACAAAAAAGAGCCATTACATTTTTTTTTAGATTTTCTTCATAGTGTTACTTTTTTTTCTCCTTGCCTTTTCATTACAAAATTTTTAAGAACTTAAAAACTTATCTGTTTCAACCATTATGCAAAATGCCTTCAGAGAGGACTGCAAAGTGCAAAACAAAAATTGCTTTATCTTGTGTGTGTGTGTGTGTGTGTGTGTCTTACTCATTTCATTCACAAGTATCCAAGAAAATATAAACCATGTTGGGAATTTCTGTTGGATCCTCAAATCCAACTACGTTGTTTTGGTAAATCACATTTTAAATTATTTCTCAAATTATTACTTAAACCCCCTCTGCCCTAAACACTGTATGAATCCATTATCACCTGTCTCATGAGTACATGAAGTATGTTCTCTACTAAAATTGTATCTTTATTAGTGCTAGAATAATCACTTCTCTCCCCTTTTAATATTTTCCTGTGTTAATAGACTTCCTCACTTTTCAGTTTATCCTGGCTAAAAATTCCCATTTCTTTTCAGGAAACCATATACATTAAAATCTATCTCCTAGAGTGGCTAATCTACATGTGAGAGGAATAATGTAAAAAAGTAAAAATACCAAGACATTAATTTAAAGACTGCTTGTGGGGGACAGAGCATGGGATTGGGAGTAGGTTGAAAAAGAAGGCAAAAATCTATTTTTTTTAATTGTTTATTCTTTAATTCCTGTGTGTTCTATGTAACCAGTGATGTGCTGGGAACCATAAAGGATGCAAAAGAAGTAAAACATAGTCCAGTTGAAAAGTTTAGTTGAAGCAAGTACTGAAGGACATAAAATACTATGTAACCATATACTTGATTATGTACTGTAAATGTTCACAGGTGTTTCATATACTGTAGTTGTTATACAGCAGACCTTTAATAAAGGTGATAGAGGGAAAAGAGAAGTCTCCTTATCAATGACAGAAGAGTGAGCTATTGAAGGAGAATTAGGATTTGCCTTAGGTATGGAAAAAGTTAGGAATTATCATAGCCTGGGTGAATATCTCTTAAGATGGGGGGGGGGGCGGTGTATGGATGAAAAGAAAATATTCCTGTATTTTTGGAAAGGCCAGTCTGACTGTAATAACACTTTTGTGAAGAATGAAATATTAAAATTATTTAAGTGGACATTTGGGAAATCACACTTTGGTGTACTATTGTACCGTTTCGTCAGTAGATAACATTAGAGAAAGAAATTACATTGCATAGTTAAATGCTGATGTCTACATGTACCTTTTCTTGTGTGTAATGGAGCTCAGGAAAAAAATTCATCCTTTTAATTACACAGCTAAAATTCACTGAACACTAACTGTTGTGATGTAATGAAAGGATTCTTCAGATTTCTTAAGTTCAACCTTCTTCACCTTAATTTAGGAACTGATATCTTCAAAGGTTAGAAAAACATATTTGTTCAGTAGGCTTGAGCTATGTTGAGTGTGTTTCTACCCTGTTAAATACATAGTATTTAAAGTTGGCTAATGGACTCTCTGAAAGTTAGTTTTCCATAGCTGCTGGTAATCATTTCTGATAGTATTAAAATGAATTACCTCGTATGTCATTGCATCATTAGACCAATTATAAAACCATGTAAAATACCACCAAAGAATGTTTCTAAAAATAGTGTAGACAGATTAATTATTGAATTATGTTTTACATAAAAACACTTAGGTAGACTTAATTTTCATACTTAATTAACATATACAGTCATTCAACAGATCCATATATTGTTTCACTTCTAATCCTATATTTAGGGTTACAAATTACAAATAATTTTAGATGATTAATAGATTACTTGATAGCCAATATTGGAATTGCTCTTTAGGAATATTTTTATCAGTTTTCAAAATTAGGAGTTTTTAAATTTTGTGTATGACCAGAAAAGTGAGAAGAAGCTGTGTGGAACAGTCATAGTACTTGTCTATATTCTATGAAATTAATTGTTACTGTCCGTAACCATAAAAAGTAGACATTTTTATATTGCTCTGATTGGCTGCATAGTACAAGAGTTGGTAAAAGCTGATGCCATGATGGGGCCTTGATATGGTTGCATATGATTGTTTATAAATGTCCATTTTAAAGGGCTTTTGATTCAGTTGTAACAATTAGCTGTAGGTTGAACTTCGATGGCCAAAGTATGTTCTAAAAAACATATAGAGAAAAAATTGCCTCTGTCATTTTTGAGTTTTCCAAATGCAAATTTATTTTGAATAATTCTTTATTTAAGGATTTGTTTGCATTTGATCAATACCACAGAGACTTCCTTTTTGAAAAAAACTTTTTTTCTGTTAGGTTCTTCTGTGGACTAGTAATTGTGATGAGAGTTGATATTTATTTCAATTTAATATGTTGCTGCATAGGTGAGGTAGTATTTGAATCACTTTAAAAGTTCATGTCAGTGGTTTGTTTAGTTCTTTTGAATTTTTCCTCTTTTCTTTATTTTTGCTTTCTTTCCTTTTCTTCCCCCCTTACTCCCCTCCCTTTTGTTTTTGCTTTGTTTTATTTCGTTTTACTACTTTTGTTGTTAGTTTTTAAAGGGGTGTTTTGGGGTCTCCATGGCCTTGCTGCATACTTGGCTGGCCATATTTAGTCTGCGCACTAATTATTAGTTGGCCCAGTTCAGTTTTACTTTGTGCTATCAGTTTTTTTAATATGGTTTTCTATTTTTGTCCACGTGGTTGTTTTGAGATTTTTTTATTCTGATGGGCTGGATTTTAATCCATGTACTAAATTTTAGTCTGCAGACTAAAAGTAATCCGCGGATTATTTATTTTGCAAAATATTTAATTCCCCCACTGGAAACTATCCTAAAAGAATGTTACATTCTCTTAGAATAGCCAAGGGTGTTCACAGCTACTGGTGAGTTCTGCCCTTTTTTTGTTTGTTTGTTTGTTCTCAATGCCTAGACATAATAGACCCTGCTACCTCCCTTATATATTTGGCTCCGTTGTGCCTAGGTGTTGGTGTACATTATTATGCATGTCACCTGTAACTGTGACTGTCCCTTAGTTGTATTGTTTATTGTATACATTTTTGTTTAGCTTTTGGTGGGTGAATTGGGCATATTTGCAGATGGAACTGTTGTTGAATTTGTAGTGCTCAAAGATTTAGGATTTTTTTTTCAGTAAGTTTTTCCAAAAAGGAAAGAAATGCTCTCTATTTATTTTTCTTAAGTAATGGGTGCAAGGGTATGAGGGGGTAGAGCCCACAATACACAAAGTAAGTTTATACCCGCACTCCTGAGATGATATGTCAATTTCCTGAAGAATCCTAAAATAATGAGACTGTCAGCAAATAACATCTTTTAGCAGGGAAGTCAATCCAAAACTGGAGAATAATCCGCGGTGGCCTGATCCTTCTTAGCTCACACAAATTGAAAATATCTGGCTTGAAATCTATAGTAATATAAATTAAATATATTTAATACATTTCTCTTGTAACTAATAACTCAGCAAAAAAATGTTTATACTGTGTAACTGGGACACATTAATTGAGAAAAATTAGTATATTGGGAACATATATCTTTAAAAGCAGGCTAATATGCCCCCTCCCAGCCACGTCTATGGATGATAAATCCAGGTCGTAGAAGACCACTTTACTTTGGGAACTTTACTTCTAGATTTCATTTTGATTTTAACTTTTTTTGGTTTTGTATTTTTTTAATAAACACACTGGCATTGGAACATGATAAAATAAAATTTAAATGTTTCTTTACTGTGCCTCACCATTGCACAATCAAAAAAATTTTTTGCATACACTGTGGTGAAATAATTTTTAAAATTTGGACTTGCTACTGTGGAGACTAATGTTTAAAGTTTATAACTGTATAAACATTTTCTGTGTCCCCCTACACCATGGATTTCTTATAACATTGGATATATTTTTCCTTGCTGGACTATTCTCTTTTGGATTGACTTCCCTGTTTGGATTATTTCACTGCATTATCATCTTTAGGATTCGTCAGGAACAGGACATTTCACCTCAGGAGTGCGGGTATGTACTTTATTTTTTTTCCCCAAAAAATTTACAGGGCAGGTCTATAAAACTTGGGGGGGGGGGTGCATTTTTTGAAAGGCTAAACAATTGTTTATTCTTGAAATGTGCTAATAAAAATGTAGGAAGCTATGATTTTTATTTTTTATTCATTGTATGGTATAGATTTTCTTGTTACATTTTTAGATTGTCAGTCTCCTAGGTGAACCATTGACAGAAATTGTAAGGTTTTAAAATTATTATTCTTGTAAGAATAAACATTGATGAAGATTCATGAAACCAAAGGTTTTTAAGTATTGAGCTATTTCAGTGAGTAAGAAATGATATAGCAGTTGAAACTTATTTATTAAAAGCCAAATTTTAGTAGTTACTGGTTTCCTTTACTTTAGACACAAAGGAAATTCAGAAGAGCTAGTTTCTAATTTGTACAGTAATTTTTGAAAATTGCATGCTATCACATCCTATATTATGGTCAGAAATCTAAACTCTGAAAGATACTGGGTTTTGACCCCACATAATTTCCCACTAACCTTTATCCACAGAGTACTGAACCAGGGTTCTTCTTATGAAAAATCTCTCAAAGGATTTAAAGTACAGAAGATATTTTTTTTAAAAAAAAAAGGTTGAATCTTGATTTTAATATAGGTTCTTGGAATTACTTCTTATCTGTATTATTTTTAGCTCTTTAACTCCATTAGTTAGGATTTCTGACAACATAAGCTAATATATGTCTTCGAACCAAAATGGGTAATCACTCAAAGCCAGTAAAGTACCAGGGGCTAGGGGCTTTTTAAACATAATCAGAAATAAGCTTACAGTACTGGTTTATTCATACCTTTAACAAGATAAAGATAATAAACAGGAGTTTGTTATTAAAATATGAATTTTTTATTTTATATAACTCACCACCTAGGTTCCCTATAGTTGCAGTTTAGAGATATTTAGTTTTTGTTACTGTATTTAATTCTAGTTATATGACACTATTATTGGTACCGAAGCATTTTGGATTAGCTAGCAAACTAATCTATATACTGTCAAGTAGATTCAATCTGCCCTCAGGAATAAAATATGTCAGTAGTGTTTAATATTTTTATGATAAATTTTCTGAGTTTTTCCTCTGACCATTTTTATTTTGCGTTCTGGATTTGATTATTGTCATATTCGTCTCTCTTAAAGCAAGAGAGGGGAAAATGGCAAATAATAGTGGAAGATCTAAACATTTTAAATAATACGATCGCTTTAAGGTTTCTTTGATGGAAACAATCAAAATTCTCAGAAATAAAGACGAGTCTGTTTTGGACCATACAAAGGGCTTTCTATCATAGTCAATATTGACTAAGACCTTTAAAGATCTGAATTAATTTCTAAGATCCTATCAACTCAATCTCTCAATTCCCATGGAAAATAATCTTTCAGTAACAAACTATGTAAAAACAAAAGCAAAAACAAGAGAAAGGAAAAAAAAGAAAGAAACCCAACAACAACCAGTTTTCAGTAGTTTTGTAGAAAGTATTCTTATTCTTTTAAATATTTAAAGAACTCTGGTTGTAACTAATTCTCCTACATTTGGCCTAAGTGAACATCCAGATGTTATATGAACCATTCTCATTAGGAAATCTTAGCCTCCCAGAGTCCTTCATGCCTTATGCCCTATCACCTCTGCATGTCCTTTCCTCATTTATGGGTCTATTGCCCTCCATTTATGCATGTCTGTTTTTCTTTATATTTCTGCACCATAACTTTTATTTTGGTTGTATGTTCTTTCTATCAAAAGTTGTATGTTTCATTTTTATTTGATTTCAGAGGCTTTTGGACATTTAATTTCATTTCTGTTTATTTCTACTCCTTCTTTACCCTTTAACTGGCCATACTTTAGGTTGAAATATATTTTCATAATTTTATGTTTTGATTCATTTTAAGACATTGATGAGTAGAAAGCTATCTCTTCTTTTAATCAAGTTAATTACATTTTATTTCAATATAGCCTTTAGATTCCTATTTCTGTGACTTTTTTTTTTATAGCTTTTAATGAAAAAGACAGTATCCGCTCCTGAAAAAAGCCCTAGAATATTCATTCAAATTAATTCAAATGAGAGTGATCTGGCCACATTCATGATAACAGTTACTTGAAGAAAACATCAAACATTTTGTCAAAGTAAATGATAGGCTTTGTATATTGAGAAAATAATACCAATTATTAGCATTAGAAGACTTAGAGTGACAGCTTTTCTTTCTTTTTAGAAAAATTATTGATTTCTTAATTTGAATAGTGCCATCCATTATCAACAGTTGTTGACACCAGAGAGGCAATCTTTTATTTACTGCCACAGTAGTCAAAACTTTGAAGATTTTTTTTAATGCTCTTTTTGTTGTGCTTGCCTCCAAAACTCAGCCTTTCCCATGTGCCTGATATATTTTATATGCATGTTTAATTATATTGCTTTATGTTTAGCTTATGTAGATTTTTCTCTGAGCTTTTCTCACATAGTCTTTAAAATTAGCAGTTTACCCCAGTGTGGCGAATCATATGCAGTTAACTTTTTTTATCCTACAAGGTTCCTTTCCCAAATGCAACCATGTTTTTGTACAGGTGGGAATTAACTCATTACTCAGAGAGCTATTTGCTTAGGTTTTTAATAATAAAATATTAATTGTTCTTTCCTCTTTTTGTACTGCAGGTCTTCCGACCCCGAACTCCACCGGAGGCAATTGCATTGTGTAGCCGTCTGCTGGAGTATACACCAACTGCCCGATTGACACCACTGGAAGCTTGTGCACATTCATTTTTTGATGAACTGAGGGACCCAAATGTCAAACTACCAAATGGGCGAGACACACCTGCACTCTTCAACTTCACCACCCAAGGTAATTCCAAACACTAAACTCTTAACCATTTCTGGGAAAGGTGCACACTGGATATGGAATGAGACTCTGTTAATGAAAATCTGTGGAGAACAACAGTAGATATATTAGTAAGCATTTATGGAGGTATGAAGCACCCTATAATTTATTAGTCCAATTTTTGTATGGCCTTGAACAAAATAGTGACAGATAAAATTTTTGAAATAAGGATACTTTCTTTCATTTGTAGCAGATTACATTTAATTTTGGCACATGAGAAGTTTATAGACATTTCATTGGGTGAGATTTATCACTAATAAGATTAATATATAATTAGCATTTTTGCTTCCTAAGTATCAGCATCAAGTTTTTAAAACCTAGAAATAAATTGGTGGCTGTATTTTTATAAATAAGGGGAGAATTGGAGTCCTGTAACTCCTTTCTAAGAACTTATATGAGAGATATAGACAGAGAAATTTCCATCTCCTTTGTGACTTGGTACCCACTACTACTGCCAAGAAAACATTGAAAGGAAAACTGAGTTTGTGCATTCATTTCTAAAAAACTTAGGGATAGTCATTTCTTCTTCATTTCTACATTTGTATGTTCACTTTTTCTTTCTGATTAAGACCCCCAAATCATTCATTCAGTCAGTCAGTCAGTCAGTCACATTGCTTCTGCTAATGTGATTTTCTTCTTAAACTGAGCATAAAGTTTTTTATTCCAGGGAGATAAAACAAGAAATGGGTGATGTGTATCTTGATTACTGAGCAGTAAGCTTAGGCTAAAAAAATATAGAATGGACATAGAGAACTTTGTGTGACCACGAATGAGAAACTTCCTTTATTCGAAGGTGAATGTGTTTTCCACATATCTAAACTTTTCTAAAATTGAATGTGGAAGGTTGTGTGGCGTAAGTGGTAGATATTGAAGATTCCAGTAGATAGTAAAGCACACTGTAAACTTAAACTATCAATATTTTGTAACACTAGCAATGCTGATATAGTCTTAACTTTAAAAAAAAAAAAAAGAGGGGCTGGGGATGTGGCTCAAGCGGTAGTGCGCTCGCCTGGTATGCGTGCGGCCCGGGTTCGATCCTCAGCACCACATACAAACAAAGATGTTGTGTTCGCCAAAAACTAAAAAATAAATATTTAAAAAATAAATAAATAAATAAAGTTTAAAAAAAAAAAAAAAAAAGAATGTAAGCTGATCAGAAACCATTTGGAATTTAGGGTCCTGATTATCTGTTTTAAGAAGAATATTAGTAAATGGGAGCTACCGTTTAATATTTATAATATAGTTCTTTTCAAAATTTCTTTTCTAACACACATATTGATAAATGATAAATCTTTTCTTTCTTTCTTTCTTTTTTTTTTTTTTTTTCCGTACCAAGGACTAAACCCAGTGGTACTTAATCGCTGAGCCACATTCTCAGTCCTTTTTAGTTTTTGAGACAGGGTCTTGCTGATTTGCTTAGGGCCTCCTTAAGTTGCTGAGGCTGGCCTCAAACTTACAATCCTTCTGCTTCAGCCTCTTGAATCACTGGGATTACCAGAGCATCCACCATGCCTGGCTTGATAATTCTTGAATCCAAGATAATCTCTCATTTCCCAAAATCCCAAACAGATTTGATAACTTGAATATATTAAAATCATATATTACATAAGGAATTTTGCTTTTTTTAACATCTCAACTTTTATAAAACAATTTCATTCAAATTTTTTTACATGTCTTTTACATCTTTGTATTTGTAATCAAATAGAGCTATTTTGTGAACCATCTAATTTCTTAGGTTAAGTCACCTGAACTTTTTTATATGAAGCATTTTTTAAGTCTATAGAAGGACACCATTGGAAAATCTGAGTACCCATTTGCAGGTTTTATTTTGTTCTATAGGTATATGTTTATTATCTACACAATATAACTGTTCTGGATTGCTTTTCAAAGTGATCTCTAAAGGCTTGGATAGAATGACATCTGCACTTGCAACTGTGGAGTATCAACCTTAGGAACTACTAAGTTAGTGTTAAGTTCCTTCTTTTTCTGATCATTTTTGTCAAGCGACATTAAAATTTCACAAACCCTTATTGGTTGAGGTTTTTTCACACTGTCCTTCCAAAGAGTACTTTGGAAAGTACTAGTCTTTCCAAAGATTAGTTATTAGAGAAATGATTCTCAGGATATGTTTATAAGGTTCACTACAAAGACTCATGTAAATTTTTTTTTCACTGATATTCAGAAAGTCATGTAAAATACTTTGAAAGCCACAGACAGTATGTGTTTATACAGATTACATCCAAATATATATGTACCCTTGATAATCAAGAAAGCCCCTTGTCAGGTGAATAACTTGGTTAAACCTCAAATACTACATGATATTTATGGTAAATAGATTTATTATTACTAAAGAAAATAAAAATTTTAAAACAAATTCTATGAGTTTCTTAAGCTTTTTTAAAAACTGAAATAAAATTCATGTAAAGTTAAGAATTTTTTTTAAGAAGTAAACAACTCAGTGTTATTTAATACATCCACAATGTTGTGCAACTACCAGCTTTATCGAGTTCCAGAACACTTTCATTGCATCTAAAGAAAACCCTGCCCCTGTTAAATGGTCACTCCCCATTAACCCCTCTCCCATCCCCTAGGAACAATTTGTTTTCTGTCTCTGAATCTTCCTATTTTGGATATTTTATCTAAGTGAAGTCATAAAATATAGGTCTTTTATGTCTGCCTTCTTTTTCTTGTTGTTTTCAGAGTTCATCCACATAGCATATATTAGTGCTTCATTCCTTTTTGTGGCTGATTAATATTCCATCATGCAGATACGTCACATTTTGCTTATTCATTCTTGACTTACAAACATTTGGGTTGGCTATTGTGAGGAGTGCTGCTGTGAACATTCATGTACAAATATTTGTTTGAATATTTGTTTTTCATTCTTTGGGTACTACTAAATCACATGATAATTCTGTGTAACTTTTTGAGGAACCACCAAATTATTTTCCTAAGGCTGCACATTTTACATTTCTACTAATAGTGTACACGAGTTCTAATTTTACACTTGTCACCTTCCTACCTACCTTCCGTCCATCCTTCCTAGTTCCTTTCTTTTTAAATAGCCGTCCTGGTGAATGTGAAGTGGTATCTCATTATTGTCCTAAGATTATTGCAATATAATGGACCAGAACTTGATAAGTGCTTTTTAAAATAAAGAAAAAGCTTAATTTCAAGAAGTCTAAATTAGTTCAAACTATCCATACATGTCTAATATTTATAGAAGTTTTTAAAAAGAATTGAGTATTATTTTATTTTGGTATTTTAAAATGTAATATTTGCCCATAGACAAATTAGAATGATTTAATTTGAAGAATCTACTCATCTCCCATTTAAAAAAGCTGGGTTATGTGAGAGAATGATAGTTTTGTGGGGAAATAAGAGGGAATGGGGGCAGACTGACTATAGACAGAAAAAAAAGCAGTGATTTAGGAATTCAGGAGAACTAAAATAGAGTTAAAATAGGATTGGGGCAGCCACAGGGCAACAGGTAGACCCAGGCAGACTGAATGTTTTAAGGTAGAGAGACAAGAATATCTAAAAATTAAGAAATCAGGTGATGAAATAGAAAAAGGATTCTAGAAAACAAGTTTTTAAAAGACAGTAAAAGGTTGAGAGCAAATAAAAATGTCTCTAAGTGTGTATATGTTTTTCTGATTTAGAAGAGTACATATATATTTGGATGTAATATGTATAAACACATACTGTCTGTGGCTTTCAAAGTATTATGTGACTTTCTGAATATCGGTGAAAAAAGATGAACATGAGTCTTTGTAGTGAACCTTATAAATATATCCTGAGAATCATTTTTCATCAGATTAAAGATATATTAAGTTGGAAGTATCATTATTTTAAAATAATCCCTTCCTCTTTTTTTGTTTCGTTTTTTTTTTTTTTTTTTTTTTTTTAAGTGTTAAAATGCCCTGGTTTAGCAGCCATTCTGAATCTGAGCTGTTATCACTGTTTTTTCTCTAAACTTCTAAATCATTATTGTTCTTAAACACTCCTTCCATATAAGGACATAACCATCCAGGGAAGAGATATTATTTGATGGCATTCTACTTGATACTGTATATTCTCATTTTGAAGCAGTGTTTCCAAATGGTGATCTTGTTTTCTAAAGCAAAGATGTAACTTGTGCAGATGAAACTTCAAAGACTAATGGATAATAATTAAAGAATGATCAGAAATTGTAAATTTGTAATACAAGAGATTGAAAAAGGAGAATGAATCCCCACTTGATTATATAGCTAGGGAGAATTCAAAGAATCCTTGTTGGGAGTAAGTAGTGAGGATTTTCATTTGCACTCTTACCCCAAATAAAACAAAGATAATCCCTGATACATATACAGTAGGTGCTCAGTGAATGTTAGAATATTTGATACGTGGCACTTCAAGTAAACACAGAGTTTATTAATTTATACAACCAGTATTTATTGGGCATTTCTAATGCTGTCTCTGGTTGTTATTGTTATTGTTTTAATTAGTAAAGTAAATCTGCCATATAAACCAAATAAGAAATATTAAACACTTGAGTAAAATACAGTGTTATTTTAATTAAAGTAAAACTTACACCAGAATTTAACTTCACTTTGCTGTTTATTACAGTATCATGAAAATTAACCATAAACAGTAATTAGTAGTACATTCATATAATCACAAGAGATAGCTAGAGGAAGGAGAGAGATGAACAAATATGGGACAGGAAACTTTCAGATCCTTCTGACTGCCCAAATCCATACTTCAAGAGAATATCAGACCTGTCTGATTTTTCCAGACCTTTGACACACTCCTTTCTCTCTTTGTCATTAAATATGAAAGGTTGGACATAGCCGAATCAATTCCAGGAAGCAGATGGAATCAGGAAAATTCAATAGGGATCAGTATTATTGTCTGTTCCAAGGCTGGAATATATTAGGAAGTAAGTTGTTTTATGTTTAAAGTGGAGTTTGCCCCTAATTCCA